CAGGTGTGGCTGTTCACGAGCTTGTACCCATGTCTTCTGAGCAACTGGGCACCTAAGTGTGAAAGATGCTAAAACACGTGCTTGTGGGCCAGAGAGAATTCCGGGAGGGAAGAGTGAAGGAAAAGGAAAGTGAGCGATCCCTGAAACATTTCTGCCAGGCTAGACACTTAAAATGTTTTAGTGAAATCTTTCAAACATATGAAAAGGAGAAGTCAGATTAAATGAACACCTGTGTCGCCAGCACCATGTTTTTAAAATCTCATTATCTATTGATGTTATCATATTATTATAACTATGTTAACTATAGTAATAATCTGCCATATTATTAATAATATAATAATGATACAACCATGTTAACTATAGTTAATAATACTGTATTGTATACTTGGAAGTTTCTGAGAGAGTAGATCTCAAAAGGTCTCATCACAAGAAAGAAAATTAGTAGCTGTGGATGTCGGTGTATGTTAAGTAGACTTATTGTGATGGTCATTTCACAATATAAGCAAATACTGAATCATTATTTCATATACCTGAAACTAACATAATATTACATGTCAGTTAGATCTTGCTTAAAAACTCATGATTTCCACATTGACTTATTTGCTTCCGGTTTTTAAAATAAAAGGTTCCCAGATATCATTAGAAATTCGCAGTATGTGCTCCTTCCCCGATTCCATCCTTCTCCCTTCTCTCCAGAGGCATCTACTGTTCTAAACTTGACTTTTCTCCCTCACTATCATATTTGTGAAGTTTATCCATCCTGACTCTGGCTCTTTGGTTTCTTTCTTTTTGTTGTTGTAGTTGCTGATTGACTTTTTACTCCTTTTCATCAGGGGGTGGCAAACTATGGCCCCTGGGCCAAATATGCCTTATCACCTGTTTGTTTAATTTTTAAAGTTTATTTATTTATTTATTTATTTATTTATTTATTTATTTATTGAGAGAGAGCAGGGAGGGGCAGAGAGAGAGGGAGAGAGAGAATCCCAAGCAGGCTCCATCCTGTCAGCACAGAACCCGACGTGAGGCTCAAACCCATGAACCCTGAGATCATGACCTGAGCCGAAATCAAGAGTCAGACGCTCAACTTACTGGGCCACCCAGGTGCCCCGTACCACCTGTTTTTGTAAATAAAATTTTACTGGAAAACAGCCATGCCCTTTGGTTTATGAATTTTCTGTGGCTGCTTTGCATTACGATGGCAAGGTTGAGTAGTTATGGCAGACAGAGAAGCAGAATGGTTAGCAAAGCCTTAAATATTTACTAACTGGCCCTTTACCGAAAATGTCAGCAACCCGTCAGCCAACCCGTGCTACAGAGTTCTAACAATGTAGCACCTTGTCCTATTTTCCTGTGGGTGAACGTTTGGGTCATTTCTAATTTTTTTATTTTAAACACAGTGCTTCAGTAAACATTTTTGTTTGTGCAGGATTCTCCCTGGAGTGTAGAGTCAGCGAAATTACTGGGCTGTACGGCACGTGCAGCTTTTTATGGGCTATGACTAAATGGGTCTCCGAGGTGGACCCACCAATTTGCACTCCCACTGGTGGTCCCTGAGACCTTCTCTCCCTCCACATCCTTGCTGACAAACTGATATTTTAGGACCATGAGTTTGGTGAATCTTGTGATTAAAGTGGTGCTTTCTTACTTACCGCGGCCAGTCAACAGTTTTTCAAGTTGTTATTGACCATCGGCCATTCCTCTAGTGGGAATCACACGATCGTTTTGCCCGTTTTCCTACCGAGTGGTTTGTCTTCTTCCTTTTGAGTTGTGAGAGGTCTTTGTATAGCCTGCCTGATAGTCCTTTTGGTTGTGTTAAAGCCGGTCTGTGACTTAGTTTTCAGTCTGGATTCTTTATCAGAGCTGTGTCATAAGGGATAGCCAGGCTCAGTTCATCTTGAAGATATGTGTGATCTGTATACACACCTAACACACATATATATAGTGCGTATGCGCGCGCACCCACACGCACACATCCATGTCGCCTTTTCCGCGCAAAGGTGTGCAGGGTTGCCAGGGGGTGCAGCTGACAGAGAGTAAGTGGATGCCGGCACCGTCAGCAAAGTTGACTCAGCACAGACTCCCCACCAGAGCATTCCTGCAGGTGCGCAGCGTCCTTTCTCAGAGCCCTTACAGCGCCATCCCGAGGCCGTCCGTTGGGATGAGCTGATTGCTGCTGATGCTTCGGCTGTGGGCACATGACCTGCGAGGTCCCAGGGAGGCTGAAGGCCACCACGGAGGGCTGCCGAAGGGTTTGGAAGGCTGCCTTGGACAGAAACCGAACGTGATTTGTGGTTTAAGCTTCCCCATTTTGGTTTTGGCTGAAATCAGACCTTGGTTTCACTCTGATCAAGTTGAACTGCTCTCTGGCCCACAGCGCTTTAAATAATTTAAACTTCTATTTTTCAGGCCAGACTACTTTTGTTTGACTTTACACTGGTCCATTATCTTTAAACCTGAGAGCTCTGGCTTCCTCCTCCCCTCTTCCTCCTGTGACCTTTTAAGTCAAGCTTTCTGAGTTAAATAGTTAAAGATATTTAAAAAAAGAGAGAGAAGAAAAAAAAAAAAAAACCCTCTGCAGTCCTTCGGGTTTATGAAGTCCTGTGAAGTCTTCAGCCCTTGCAGCCTCGATCTGTGTGTATCTTTAAAAACAAATTTTTTTTAATTTTTTTTTTATTTAGTCCTGAGAGAGTGAGAGAGGGCATGTGCAGGGGAGGGTCAGAGAGAGAGGGAGACACAGAATCTGAAACAGGCTCCAGGCTCTGAGCTGGCTGTCAGAGCCCAACACGGGGCTCGAACCCACGAACCGTGAGATCATGACCTGAGCCGAAGTGGGAGGCTTAACCCACTGAGCCACCCAGGCACCCCTCGATCTGTGTGTATCTTAACAATAGCCCAGTGAAGCGCATGGGGAGCTTTGTTACAAATGCCATCTTGCACGGGCACCTGGGTGACCCAGTTGATTAAGCATCTGACTATGGCTCAGGTAATGATCTTGTGGTTCGTGAGTTCGAGCCCCACATCAGGCTCTGTGCTGACAGCTCAGAGCCTAGAGCCTGCTTTGGATTCTGTGTGTGTCTCTCTGCCTCGCCCCTGCTTATGCTCTCTCTCTCTGAGAACAATGAATAAACATTTAAAAAAATTATAAAAACAAAAACAAATGCCATCTCGCAGTTGAGGAGTGCTGAGGGGCAGTACAGCGGACTTGCCCCTGATCCCGTAGCAGCCTCTGTGCTGGGCCCGGCGCCCCAGTCTGGTGCCTTTCCCAGCATGTGTGATGCAGGTGTGGGCTCGGCTCAGTGCCCCACATCCCGTACGACCCCTCCTCACCATTGCTAGTGTTGCCTGTGCAAGGAGGGCCTGGCTCTCGGCACCAAGACAGATGTCACTAGGGCTGTTTGTCTACCATCCCTGAGCGTTGTGCTACGAGTCAGACTTTGCGCTGCATGTTTTCTCACACGCCATCTCATGTCATATGCCAGTTAATGCTGTAAGCAGGGTGGGCTTCACGGTCGTGTCACCCGCACAGTCAGGCAGGGTCCAGGCTCCGCTGGGGACAGCCTCATGCTGGCTTTTATGCCCTGCACTGCTTTCTTAAATTGTTAACTAACTTTTGAACAGCTGACCCTGCATTTTCATTTCTAATATATTTTAAAATATTTTTTGAGAGAGAGTGAGAGAGCAAGTGAGGGAGGGGTGGTGGGGGAGGGAGGGACAGAATCCTAAACAGGCTCCGTGCTCAGCACAGAGCCTGATGCAGAGCTCCATCTCACGACCGTGAGATCATGACCTGAACTGAAATTTAACCAACGAGCCACCCAGCTGCCCTGACCCCATGTTTTCAGTTTGCACCGGGCCCTGATGTAGCCAATCCCGCCTATAGATAAAAAAAATGGAGACTCCAAGAGGTGAAGTAACTTGCACAGGATTACACGGGTAGTAACCGGAAGAGCTAGGATTGGACTGATTTCTACTTTGCTACTTCATTTATTAAAAATAGCAATGAGCCTTGTTTGAATTGCACTGTGGGAAACAGGAAGCAGGTAAATTGCGTTCTAGAAATACTGATTTTCTGTGGAGTCTGCTTGTGTGTTAAGCAGTTCTGTGTAGACCTCACGCTGGCCAGTACCACCCTTTTCCTTGTGGGGAGGGGACGACACCTGTCATTTCCTTTGAGGTCCTGAAGGTGCCTTGACCAGGGAGCCTCACAGCAGAGCTGGTCAGGCTGGCCAAGAAGGTTAATGGCTCTTGGATTGCAATGAAATGAGACCACTGAGTTTACCTTGGTAAGCCAGAAAGATACAGGAGGGAGTAAGAGGCTGGTCCATAGTCACAGAACTAGAAGAATCCAACCCAGCTCTTGGACCAGATCATTATGTCACTCCCTGGGTGGCAGGGTTCAGAGATCCCCAACTCAACTCCTCCTCCAGGCTTTGCTTCTCTGCGTGTCTTATGCTACCTGCCCTTTCGCTCTGACTGTCCCAGAAGATTCAGGCTGTGCCCCAGGCCCCTCAGAGGCAGCTAGGCCACTTCGAGGTTGACCATGTGGAGTGAGGCATTGCCTCCTGGCCATGTTGGTATGTTACAGGGCACCGCCTGGTGACTTGGGAGAAGGAGCTATGAGAATTTTTTAAATTTTTTTTTTTAATGTTTTATTTATTTCTAGGAGAGAGAGATACAGCGTGAGCAGGGGAGGGTCAGAGAGAGAGGGAGTCACAGACTGAAACAGGCTCCAGGCTCTGAGCTGGCAGTCAGCACAGAGCCTGACGCGGGGCCCGAACCCATGAACCGCGAGATCATGACCTAAGCGAAAGTCGGACTCTTAACCGACTAAGCCACCCAGGCTCCCCAGTCTTGTCCTGTCTTACTCCAGGGTGGTCGTTGAGTCAGCCGTCTTGGCAGATGAGCTCACTGCTTCCTGAGCAGGATGCACTCCTGGTTGGGGAGCTTCTCCACGGGGCTCGCTGGCCTCCCTGATGATCTGCTTTGTTCTCCCTTCACAGCCGCGAACCCTCTGCTTTGCTCCACCGCCCGCTACCACTGCAAGAACGGCCTCTGCATCGACAAGAGCTTCATTTGCGACGGGCAGAATAACTGTCAGGACAACAGCGACGAGGAAAGCTGTGAAAGCTCTCAAGGTAGGAAGCCTCCCAAGCTTTCAACAGTAATTGTATCGCCACACCACAATAACACTGAGCGGAAAGGAACAAAAACCTGTGCCTCCTCCAAATACAACAGCCGTGTTCATTTCTGCACTTTCCCTGGTGCCCCTTGTACACATGCTTTTAACCCTAACACACCTACCACTTTGGATTTTGGATTTCTCCGGGATGCAGTATCGCATATACATTTTCTCTTCAAAACTGTGATTTGCCCCAGCTGCCTTGCATATATATAGTCAGGGTGCTCCACTGTGGTTTTCTAAGTTGTTGCATGGTTGAAGGCCACCTGGATTGGTTTTTTGTTTGTTTCGTTGATTGGTTTTTTTTCCCATGGCATTACTTCTTTAGGCTAAATTCTGCAGAGCACAGTATCTGCACAGCCTGTGGCTTACACCTCAACCTGCAGCAGTCTGAAACAATATTTCCGTTTCTTTACACAGTTGCTAACATTGTCTGCACATGTCAGTTTTATCTTCATATCCCTGGCATTCGCTGCTGTTCTATTTTTTTTCCGGTTTTGCTAATTTAGGAGTCATAGAATGATAGCTCCCCAAATGCGTTCATTTGCATTTCTCTGATTATGAGCAAAGTCAACATCTTCCCCCGTGTGTTTGTTTACTACTTTATTCCCTCTTGTGTGAATTGCCTGCTCCTATCAGGAGTCTTGATCTTGGAACTGTTTCATGGGATCTGAAGAGTTAGAGTTGGGGGGATGGAAAGATGAGCTTTTGAGGGAGCCCAGAAGGACACAGCAAGGTCATATCCTCCTCTGTTAAAACGGACCGGGTTCTTTTCTCTACTTATTGACTCTTTTCTCCAGTGATTAAAAATATATATAAAGATTTAAAAATCTACATCCAAATTAAGGCATCCTATAAAGTATGTATTTCTAATGTTATAAACTGGCATGATCTGTGTGCAGTTATTACTTTTTCCACTTAATATCCTGTTGCTGTGATTTGCCTACATTGTTGCTTTTGGCCGAGTTCATTTGTTGTGACTGTTACTCTGTATTCTGCTGTGTGCACCACGGTTTATAGATTTAATAAAATTGTAAACCAGAAAAGCAAGAGAAAGGTGGCTAACTGGTTAGCTCATATGTCAGGAGGCAAGATGGATGGAATAAGCTCTGTGAAGTTACAAATAGGCCTTTTTCAAAGTCCTAGCTTTTATTTTGGTTGATGTTTATTATGATTAGATGTAAGCCATTATTAAACATGGATGATTGAGTGAATGAATGAATGAATGGATGGATGGATAGATGGGTTAGGCATTGCCTGCTGGTGAGGGTAGGTCACCAGTCATCAAGGATTATGACCAATCTAAATCTGTGTGCCTGAGGTCCATAGACTAGAAAAGACAAAAGTGTATCAACATAGATTTTGCCAAAATTTGTACAGAGAACAGCTCTGGGAGTTAAGTCTTGGCTAGTATTACCCTCTGGTTGTCCTTGTCCAGAAAATTCCCTCCTTGAGATTTTTCTTCATCAGTGGTTCTCAGACTATAATCCTCAGTCCAGCAGCGGCAGCATCATGTGGGAACTCTCTGGAAATGCAGAGCTCAGGCTGTGCCCCAGACCAGCGGAATCAACCTGGGAAGTGGGCCCAGCAGTCTGTGTTTTAACAAGCCGTCCAAGTGATTCCAACACACGTTAAATCTGAGAACCACTGTTTTACACTAATTTTAGAGAGATTTCTAATCTTGCCATTTGCCTGGAATTTCTAAACTGCTGATTGAACGGCAAGGTGTTTCTAGCCTTCACACAGAGTCAGATGTTTATAACCCACCACGTGCCAGTATTACTGCCATGGCATCTGCCATCAGCAGCGATAGGTACCACGTAGGGGAAGAACAGCATAAATAGGAGGGATGGAGGAACATTTTCTGTAAATACTGTTTCTTATGTAGTTTATTATGCGTTTATATATCCTAGACTCACCCACGGTGCCGTGACATGTTCATCAAAACGACCCCTACGTCTAAAACTTGGAAGTTAGGGAATTTGTCCTGATGGATTTTGGCAGCATCCCTCTACCCTCCGCATGCTTATCCCTCCATTTTGCTGAGGCAGATTCTTGCTCGCCCTTAAGAACACTCTCTCTGATGTCTGGGCGAAGTTTGTATTTCTAAATGCATCTCCTTTCTCTCTCTCTGCATTGCACTCTCATATTCTAAACAGAGGTGGAGGGTAAGTCAGTGGCAAGGACTATACACATGAAGCCCAGCTCTTGGCTGATACATAACTTGGAGCAGCATTCCTTAGACTTTCGGCTTTGTGCTTCCCGTACACAAACGGCACCCCCGTATGATGTAAGCTTTGTTTGCACGTGTTCTCATAAAACACATCCCATCCGGGCATGGGTGGCAGCTGTCAGTTGCTGTTTGGTATGACAGCCTGTGAGCCCGGGCGCTTTCCGTTGTGGAAAGGCACTTCTGCTAGCTAACCAAGAACAGGAAGTGTCCCTTTTTTGCCCCTAAATCCCACTGATCCTACCCAGCAGCACAGCACTCTGCACGTAGTGGATTCAGTAAGTGTTGGACGCTAGAAGACATTTCTCCATTGGGTGTTATGTTTTGAAGCTGCATTTAATTTGTACCTTCTGTGGTATGGAAGTATATCTGTTTCAGTTATGTGAGTTCAAGTATACACAGTCTAGTAAAATAATGAGGATTCGCACTGCTGTTTAAATAGAGTGGATGATTCCATCATTCCCTCAATGGGAATGAATACGCCCGGTAGTGAGCAGGGGATACAAGTCTGGACCTGTGAGCCTGGCCAGTGTGCAGTTCTGCATTCCCAATATGAGGTGAGCGGCTTCCTGCTCCAGGTGTGATTCCAGTATCAGAGGCTATGCTTGTCTCTGTCACGTGGCTTCTAAATGCGAACTGGCTACTACTTCTGGGGCTTGAACAGAGGAATGCCAGTGTTCCAGTGCTGGGGGAAAGCCTGACTCATACCGGGCTTTTGAGAGACCAAGCTCCATGCAGTGGCTTCCTGAAAAATGTGAGAGGCATCTTGACTTGACAACAGGTGGCCTCATACAGCACGAGATTTGACCCATTGTCCTCTGAATAATGTGAACATTCATCGAGTCTTACCGTGCACCAGGTACAGCACTAAGCACCTTCTGCACATGAACTCATTAAGTCAGCAGAATACATCCTATCTGCCCTGGCTGGGCTTCCAGACCTTGAAAAATGCGTCTTTGCTCTCAGTTGATGTGGGAAAGAAAATTATATTTTATAATGTTTATTTTGATGGAGTGGAGAGAACTGGCCCTAAAATAGGAAATAGGGTGCTTGAAATACTTCCCTTCCGACATGATGAGGCTATGAAAAAGTCGTGTCTCCACTTGAGAGACACCAGCTGTGTGTGCCTCGCCTCCCTTTCTTCCTCATCCCGGTTTCTTTCCCTCCTCTAATCTTGGCCTTTGGAACCAACAACAAGCTGTCTGAAATCAGAAGTGGGATTGGACTGTGAAAGTGCAGCCGTTACCGTACCTTTCCGTTTCACCGGGGGGCGGCGGGTATTCGAGGTCGAAGAACTCTGCGGTGGAATCGATTTTTAGTTGGGGATTTACTGACTGGAAACGTAGCCTGTTTATCAGATCATTCCAAAAGCAGTAGCTTCGGAGCAGGCTTGCATATGGCTTTTCTGTTTCTTAGGAACCCGTCTGAGAGTCAGCGGTACCACGGCGCACATGTTGGGTGTGGCGAGCACTCAGGTAGCCTTAGATGTGTTAGATTCTGTCCTAACTGAAAGGATAGATTCTTTTCAGCTTTGGATAAGTGGATGACTGGTAGGCATCCTGCAGTGATACCTTCCCGCTGGGGCTCAGACCCTGGTATAATGCCACCCTTTCAGTGTGATCTGGACCTTGTGAATTGCATGGTTTCTTTTATTTTTTAGTCGTGTCAAAACACACATAACATAAAATGTAGCACCTTACCATTTTTAAGTGTATAGTTCAAAGGTGTTACGTGTATTCATATTGTTGGGCAACCAAACTCCAGAACTTGATTATCTTCTAAAACTGAAACACTGTACCCACTGAACACCTTCCTATTTACTCCAGCCCCTGACAGCCGCCATTCAGCTTTCTGTGTCCAGCCATAGATAACTCGTATGAGTGGAATCAGACAGTATTTGTCATTTTGTGACTGGCTCAGTTTACTCAGTCTAAATGTCCTTAAGGTTCGTTCGTGCTATAGTGTGTATCAGAATTTCCTTCCTTTTAACTAAGGCTGGATAATAACTCCATTGTCTGTCTACACCACGTTTGGTTTATTCATTCACCTGTTGATGGACATTTGAGTGGCTTCCACCTTTTGGCTGTTGTGGAGAACAGCCAGTAGGAATGTGGCTGTAGAAATCGTGATTTAGGTTTAGTAAAGAGAGCAGCAGCACCGTTGATTAAATGCCACTTCCAAGATTAGATTAGAGACGATTTTGGCATCTGTTTTGCTTACTGTCTCCTGCTTATGCCAGTGGAAGCTGGCTGCCATCATGTGAGCTGCTTCACAGATTGGCTCAGGTGGCAAGGAACTGGGCAGGCTCTGAGCAAAGGCGGGGAGCAGCTGAGGCCTGTCACTGGCCGACTGAAATGAGCCTGGATCTTCCGCTAGCCCAGCCCTGAGCTGCGGCCCTGGCACACACCTTGACTGTGACCTTATAAGAGGTCTTGAGCCAGAGCTAAGCCCCTCCTAGATTTTTTGACCCCCATGGAAACTGTCAGATAATAAATGTGTGGTGTCTTAAGCCTATAAATTTTGGAGTACAATAATAAATAACTAATAAAATGAATACTTCCTGAGTGAGTCCCAATTCTGATTACTCTCATCACAGAGAACTTGTGAAGACTTAGGTGTTGTTGAGGGGGCCAGACCTTTGAAGGGAGATGAGGCACATAGGAGATAGATATATGGATAGCCGTTGCTTTGCGCGGTAAGTAAGCGTCAGGCACTGGTTTAAGGAT